GTATGGATCCTTGCAGTCACGAAAGCTTCAAATCTACATGTGGCCTGAGTTTGGGCACCGTGACCCTGACCCCCACCCCTCCTTGACCTCCCCCCCCCCACCCCCACCCGGCGACGCCTACCGACGTCTCGCTCACTCTCCAGGCGCCCAGGTCACTCTGCAAGGCTCCGCGTGAGTGAGTTACAGACCTCCTCCTCCTCCATCCTCGAGGTCTCCCCGCGCCGCACGGAACGTCACAGCCACAGCGGTGGGGGGTGTGTGTGCAGGGTGTAAGGATTCACACAAAGACAAAGATACCCCGTGTAGCCTTGACACCGACTGGCTTTGGTGGGGTGAGGGCAAGTGCCGTCAACGAGCAGCACCAGCGGCGGCCGGCCACGGCACGCGGGACGGATGGTGTCTGCAGCAGCCACGCACGGCCGCCTTTGTATCCCCAGTGGCGATGTTTACATTCCGCACCGGGTAACTCAGCGCTTCGAGATTCAGTGCTTCAATATGAAAGGCACTTCATGAAATAGAGGTCGTTATTGTCGTTGTTGTTGTTGTTGTTATTTGAGGCTGAGTTGACCTAAGGGAGGCCCAGGAACGGTTCATAAAATCGTCGCTGGGTGTTTTGGTGGGTCGCCGGCTGACCGCTACTCCACCGCTCCCCTCTACCACACAAAAGACACTGACAGACTGTAGGGGCAAGTGCTGTTAGCAAGGATGAAGGCCGGCACGGCACACGAAGGGGTGGGTGGCCAGCACCACGTCCGACCGCCTTTGTTTCCCCAGTGGTAATGTTTACACACCGCACCAGGTGTTAATTTAAGGCTGAGTCGACCTCGGGGAGCCCCAAGACCGGTTCAGATAATCGCCACTGGTGTTGGCTGTGAGCGGGAATCGAACCCGGGTCGCCGGGTTCGTAGCTCAGCGCGCGAACCGCTACACTATCGCTCCCCACTGACACACACACACTGACACACACACTGACACACACACTGACACACACACTGACACACACAGACACCCACACACAGACACACACAGACAGACACACACTGACACACACAGACACACACACTGATACACACAGACACACACACACTGACACACACAGACACACACACTCACAAAGGAACATTCACAGGGAAACAGAGGCGAGTTGTCTCTCTTTCTCTCTCTCTCTCTCCCACGCACATCGCCACGGCCACGTATGTCGTCCAGGCATAAATGCAACCCCCCTACGAGAATGAGAATATTGTATTTATACTTGCAGCAGGAGGAATCCTATGAGCTATAAAGCTCTTTTTCCCCCACAGATGTCCAGTTAAGGGTCACGGGGTCAGAACGTGACGACAACGACACGCGTGCAAATTGTAGGACTGCTAAACGAATCACTTTAAAAAAAAACACACACACATATATATACAAATAAAACAAATGTTTAAATGTTAGCAGGTAAGGAAAAAACTGACACACTACCTGGCCACATCGCGAATTGTAGCTCAACGTGTGGAAATGCATCACGTGTCCGGGACCCAGAGGCGGCCCCGCATCGCTCACCTGACTCATGCAACACCCGCAGTGGCGGTATAATAAATATGATATATTTTATATTATTTTATTGTTTTCCCTTCAACGTGGTGACTTTACCGGACGAACCAAGAATATGAATCACTGCAGTCACCAAAGCTTCAAATCAAAATTTAGTGGCGCTTTTGTTTTGTCTCCTTGAGCCTCCCGCTGATGACCTGCTTGGATTACCTCCTGCCTGACCGTCCGCTAAGATTTTCAAAGAGCAATTTAAAAAAAAAAAATAACTAAAACTTCCACCTGCTCGGAAGGCCACTGCAATGCAGGGTGACTAAAAGTAACGGGTTGTCGACTGACCACCGTTGGATGCGATACGAACCTGGTGGCTAGCGGCTGCTGGGAGCGCGGGCGCCTCAGGCGGCCTTACTTGCTATGCTATTTGAGGCTGAGTCGACCTAGAGGGAGGCCCAGGACCGCTTCAAGATACTCGTCACGCGTGTGTTGGCTGCGAGCGAGAATCGAACTCGGGGGCGCCGAGTTCGTAGCGCAGTTCAATAACCCACTGCGCCGCCATTCTCAAAGACAAAGGCCCCCCCCCCCGTATAACCTTAAGAGAGCGTTGGGCAAGTGCTGTTAGCGCCTTTGAAGGCCGGCACGGCATGCCGAGGGGGTTGCGGAGTGACCAGCACCACGCCCGGTCGCATTTTGTCTCCCGAGCGGCGACTGTTAACACACCGCACCAGATACTCATCTGAGTCCGGGTCGACGTATGGGGAGCCCCAGAACCGGTTTAAAAAAAACACACACACACCCGCCACTCTTACTTGTCGCGTGCGAGAAGTAAGAGTGGCCGGGGGGGGGTCGCAGCGAAGCGGTGACCGACGCACCACCGCTGCCCACACACGCGCACACAAAGACAAAGGATGCGCGCGCGCTTACTCTGGCTCGCCTCGCACAAAACACATAAATCACGAATCTTTCCACCCGGCGCCCCCCTGGGCGTTCCGGCAGCCAGCAAAGCCACCGCAGCCGCAGCGCTGGCACGTAAACACTCGGAGGAGGAGGAGAAGTGGGGGGCACGTGGGGGGATCGGAAACCTGTAATGCCCTCCTCGATCCACTGCTGCTTTGTAGCGCAGAGCTGACAAGTCTACAAGTCTCAGCTCAAAAGGCCACCCCTACGGTCTAACCAGACGTCCCAACCACACTGGAAGATGTTCAGCTCCTCGGACGGATGTTTGTCCAGCTGCATGGCCAGATGTCTATCCAAATCCACGGTCAGATGTCCCACTCCATGGCCAGATGCCTATCCAAATCCATGTACAGATGTCCAACTGCATGGTCCAATGTTCAACTGCTTAGCCAGATATCTGTCCAACTCCATGTCCAGATGTCCAACACCTTAGCCAGATGTCTGTTTAACTCCATGGTCAGATGTCCAACTACATGGCCAGATGTCTGTCCAACTTCATGGCCAGATGTCCCACTCCATGTCCAGATGTCCCACTCCATGCCCAGATTTCCTACCTGACTATGGCCAGAGGTGTTAAATCTGCATTCTTTACCTTGGCTGCTCCAATCAATGTTTACAGCCAGCTTTGTTGGCAGGCAATGTTGCTGGCAATTGAACAACTGAATTTCCTAACAAATGGAACGTTCAGTGGCCAGGCAATTAAAATGACGGAGAGTATTTCAGAGCCATTACTTTGTCCAAAGAACATTCCAAGCAAAGTTTACAAGGGTTTTCTCGCTCTCGGATCATTCAATTTAAAATAGACGCATTAGAGCATATTGCGTAAAATCTGGTCACTCAGTGGGTAGGTGATCCCCACACTTCTCTAACTATATCAATCAGCTCAAGCCTCCCATCAGGTGACTTCTGTGTTGCCACGCCAACTCTGAATCCCTCCCCTCTCATCTCTAAATCTATATCTTCTTTCGTTAAGGAGCATAAACCATCATCACGCAAACTCCGGTCACCCTCGCAGCAGCTTTTGGCTAGCTATCGGACATCATGCGCTTTCCGATGCGCTTCCGTGGCCATTTGGAATGCTCTTTCTTCCGATATTAGGAAGCCACTGGAGCTATGCACTTTTAAATAATCTACATTGGAAACTCATTTCAATAGAAGATCTTTGTATGTTTAGTTTGTTGTCCTTCCCCCGCACCTCCCAATTAGCACGGTTGGTGACGTACGGTGCGAAAGAAGTTAAACATACACACATCTCTCTAAATGAGCTCAACCTCCTGTAAGCCACATGCCTTCTGCGTGGCCACGCCCACTCTGAACCCCTAACCTCTCTGCCCCACCCACTATGAAAACAGACGCTGCTCCATGTGCAGCAGCGTCGAGGCTCTCGTGTAGCCTCCTCTACCCAATCCTCATCTCTCCAGACCACTCTGCTCCGGTTTTTTCCGTTCCGTTTCCATCCCTTTCCTCTGTTTCCCCACTCTAAAACTATTTTAAAACAATGTTTTATTTTTTATCAGGTTAGGGCCCCACTGAGCTATGTAGCTCTTTTTCAGAAGCGACCTGGCCACCACAAATTATAGCCCAACGAAGTGGCTTGTCATCGACGTGTGGAAATGTGTCACAGCCAATTACTCTAAACGCATGACGTCGATTCAAAATGTGGAGGGGAAAACCGGAGGACCCGGAGGAAAAATCAACGCGACCACGGGGAAAGAGAGAGACACATGCAAACTCCAAATATCGAGCGGGCGTCAGGGTCGGGGTCGAACCCACAACCTCGTTCATACTAGGTGAGGTAGTAAATATCTTACCACCGTGGTACCGCTTTCTTTTCACCCTCCTTCTCCCGTTCCTTTCTGTTCCTCGCTCCATACTTTATTTATCCGTGACTTTCCTCGCCTTCCAGGTGGTGTGGTCACGTTGTACGCAAGCTGCTCGTATGAACAAAGAATTGCCTTGCAATTCGTTCCCTGCTTGGCCTTGTAAAGACTGCGAACTAAGTCATTCTTCGTTAGAAAGCAGTTGTTTCCTTCCTGAAAAGTGTCGCGTTAAGGCGAGGAATTACGGCGCAGTACCGAATCACATTGGCAGTGTAAAGTCAGCCTGCAGTCATCCCATGGCGGGACACAAAACTGAGATGGCGGTACACTGCCACCATGTACTGTATCATTGCACACAAACTGTATCATGGACTGTGTCAGCCACGCAGCTCAAGAAAGTAGTTCGTCGTCGACTACTCAGAAACCGTGTGATAACGGGCGCGCGTTCCACGTTATAACGAGCGCGCGTTCCACGTTATACCGAGCGCGCGTTCCACGCTATAACGGCGCGTTCTGCATTATAACGGGCGCCCGTTCCGCGCTGCAGCATGAGAAGTGGCCCATAATGCGTTGTGTTTAGGGAAAGGGAGAACTGACCGATGCTCCATCCCATAATACAGTCAACTACCCACTCCGTTCTCCTGCTCTGTGGCAATTGTTACTGACGATGTTGTCGCTCTCTCTGTCTTTCAGAAGCACAGTGACTTTGCGGACCAGACGGACCTCGGCATCTTCAAACCCGTGCAATCCGCCACCGCGAGACCTTCGCGTCGATCGGTCAGGGTGGCCTAACGTAGGAGCGCTCAACCCATCCCGTCAGCCAAGCGACCGACCTTCCACTCGTCGCACCCTTCGAACCCTTCGAACCCACGTGGCAAGGATGCACCGCCCACAGGTGCCCGTGCTGGCCTTGCTGGCGCTACAGCTGCTGCTGCTGGGCATAGATCCTGGCCGTGCGAGGGTCCTCGAACGCTCCACCCACGGTCCCCACCGCCGACTCCACCGGAGGGCCGCGGCGGCCGCGCCCGCAGGTCGCATCGGCAAGGCCCTGCCGCCGCCCCGACCCCCCGCAGGCCCTCTGGCGGCCTCAGGCGGCGAGCGGCAGGTGTCGGTGCAGCTGCCCGCGGACAGCGTCGCCGGCTCCGGGCCGTCGCCCGTCGTCTTCAACCACGTCTACAACATCAACGTGCCGCTCGGCTCCATGTGCAGCGTGGACCTGCAGGCGGCGCGGGGAGCGGCCGGGGCTGCGGCCGCTGCTTCTATCGTGAGCCCTCAGGATGAACCTGGCAACCCCCACCCCCCCCTCCCCATCAATTTCCCCTCTCCACACTACCCCCTCCTCCCCTGCTGAGCTCTCAGTTTCAATTCTGAACTCTGAGCTCCCCTCTTTCTCTTCCTCTCCTCCTCCCCCTCTCCTCTTCCTTCACATCCACATCCACCTCCTCCTCCTCTCTCCTCCTCTTTCTTTCATCTCCCTCCTCCTCCCCACCCTGCCCATCCTCTTTGTCGTGTGTGCAAGCTAAACACCTGGGTTTGCCGTCTCAAAACTCCAAAACTGATCTCACGCGTTGCCTGAACTGCACGCAGGCAGACTAGGCGGTGATCAATCCGAGATTTTAACTACCTCGCTTGGTATACAGGTCGTGGGTTCGATCCCGACCCCGATGCCTGTATATTTGTAGTTTGCAGTGTCTCTCTTCCCGTGGTCTCATGGATCTTTCTCCGGGTGCTCCGGATTTTCCCTTCGCATTTAGAATCAACACCACGCGTTTAGAGTATTTGACTGCTTGTAAATTTCCACATGATAGGCCACTTCGTTGAGCTATCATTTGTGTCCAGGTTGCTTCTGAAAAAGAGCTATATTGATCAGTGGGCCTTACCTGGTAAAATAAAAATTGTTGTATTTAGTTCAATATACAGTAATGATCAGTATTTTAACGTAACCTCCGCCACAGAGCCAATCACAAATCAATCTACAATATTCCTCCTGTTTTTACGATACAATCCAATGTTAAACGCGTGCAACGTTGCTATATGTGCATCGGCTGCAACGTCGGGTAATTAAAGTTTAATTTTTTTTAATCTGCAGCGTGCAACTTTGTTCACAAAGAGCCTTTGTGCCGTGGTTGCACACGCAACACGGACTCGGATTGGCTGGACCGAGTCACGTGCTGTCATGGCAACCGGGTAAAAAAATGGCCGCGTTTCTTTCACGCGTGCGACAGCTCGGGAGATTTACTTGCGATACGAACGTTGAATACATTTTTGGGAAATAACATTCACCTCTTAGTCACCTGTAGTTCTGTAATATTAATATATATTTTTTTAAACATTCCTCAATTCGTGTTTATTCTTTGGCTGAGCCCGGCTTCCTTTCATCGCTTAGATCCCCCTTGCCAGGCTCTCCTCTTGGCCCGGGCTGTCCAGGCACGGAGGGGAGGGTGGCACGTGCGTTGATTATTACAGATAGGCACCATCGGCTGCGGTCGAGTTTCACGGCTCACTGGTGGATAGCAAACTTCACGTTGTAAATCATCAAAGAACAACAAACGCTTAGGAGCTTAGCACGCTTTGAGAATGCGGGCGGGCAGAGTTACGTTGGTTGGGGGGGGTCGCGCTGTGTCTGGGTTCTCTTGAGTAGGCCTCGGTTGTTATCGGTTGGCCATGCTCCATAATCTTGACGAGAATCTTGGCGAGATTACGTGTCTATTCATTGTTCTTAATCATTTAAGGTTTATTCAGATGTTTTTTTTTTTTAAAAAGGTTTTATCCGTAATGTTTTTTTTTACTCGGTTGATGTGTTAAGGGTTTTTTTTTCTTTCTAAAGGTTCAATTGTATTTGTATAGGCTTTTAGCTGTTAAGGAATTTATTCAGTTCCATCTGTTAAGGTTTTTATATATTTTGTTAAGGTTTTAGCTGCAAAGATTTATATTCAGTTGTGTTTCTTTAGGGTTTTATCTGTCAAGGATATATTTAGTTGTATATTTGAGTGATTTTATTCAGTGTTGTATTCAGTTGTATTTGTTTTGGGGTTTATCTGTTAATGGTTTAGTAAGAGTTGTGGTTCTATCCGTATAAGGTTTTTTTATTCAGTTTCATTTGAAAATCTTTTTTTATATATGTTAAGGGTTTATTTAGGTGTATTTTTCTGGGGTTGTATCTGTTAAGGGTTTTTATTTCGTTTCATCAGTTTAGGGTCACGTTATTTTATGCAGAGCGCTGTGAGACCTTGTTGTGAATGGCGCTGTATTAGAATCATCCTTTTAGCAAAAACGTCGAACTCAATTGCTAAACGCCACGGACTACTCTCCACTGTACCAGTGTGCTGAAGCAATAAGCAAGGCCCGCCATGCTTGTCCACGTGACAACTTTAATTAATTTGACGGTGCCGGGTATAGGAGGAGGGTGCACGACACACGTTGGCATTTCACTCACGCGATTTTACCAGATAAAAAAAAAGATATCATGAATCGCAAAAAGTCGCGCGTGAGAAAGCCTACGCCATTTACATCCAACAATACACTCGACAACTTCAAACGCAACAAGAGTGATAATAACTCTCTCAAGTCCCCGAAATCATTCCATGGCTTTAAAAGGCTCTTCTTATCTCTCCTGTGGGCCCCCACTCGCCAATTTAAATTAATGGGCGCCAGGTGGGGAAGTCCCAACAGCTGAGCGGAGTGGCGTGTCGGCCTTGCACAAGCCTATTAACCCTGCCCAGTGTTAAACACTGCCACGACACTGGTGCAAGAGCCTCGCATTGCTCAAGCCCAGATCCTCACTTGCACGTAGAGAGGGTTTACGCCTGGGGTGGTGAAACCCCCATGCAGGTAGCTGCTTGTGACCCCCACATGCCGACCCTGTAGGTGCAACTTCGAGGTCACACTTATTACACACAAAGTGCTTGACACAAACGAACCACAATACCTCGCTGATCTCGTGAAGGAGCATAAACCACCATCACGAGAACTCCGGCCATCCTCGCAACAGCGGCTTTCGGCTCAGCCATTGAACAAAGACGGTGGTCAGTGCTGCATTGTGGGCGTTCAGATGCGCTTCTGCGGCCGTCTGGAATGCTCTTCCCTCCGATATTAGGAAACCATCGGAGTTACGCACTTTTGAATCATCTTTATTGAAAACTAATTTCTTTAGAACTGCTTTTTGTTTGGTTTGTTGTCCTTCCCCTGCCCCTCCGATTAGCGCAGTTGGCTACGTACGGTGCGAGAGTAGTTCAACATACGTGGAGGAGCGGCAAACCTTGGTCTTGCTGTTAAATGTGAAAACTCTTCACGGCTGTAGTGGTTGCACCAGCCTGTATTGCAGCAACACTTCAGCAGCAACTCGAGCCAGGGCAGTCCATGGGTGGGGGGTGTGCAGGGGCCAAGGGCAAATCCCTGTCTGGGCCCCACCAACGCCTTCAAACTAAACCGGATGTATCACATCTGACACCGTGACATCTGACACAGGGTTCAGTCCAATTGTCAAACAACATTTACGAAATATATATTTTGTTAATATTCTCGAGTGGTGCCTAGGGAAAGCAGCAAGCACCGTGATGGCATGCGATTACTTTAATTTTTTAAAAAACCGCATTCGCGCCCTCTACCACGAGCCCTGCACGCAGCAAGTGAACACCAAGTCTCTCAGTCTGCACATCATCATCATCATCATCTGGGATCCCTCGAGGTCAAGTATGATGGTCCTCCATGGACAGCGATTATTGGTCAGGGTTTGTGGGTACGCGCAGGTGGCTGACGAGGCCCATCCTGGAACCACAACGTCTTGTTCCAGCGACGGCGCGTGGTGTTGTCGTTATTGATAGTTTGGAAACTTCGAGTGTCCCGTCTAGCCTGGGTGTTGTTCTTTCCTTTCGTGCCCGTTCGTCGGTTTCGCGATGGCTGGCATCTTTGTGACTCGAAGTGTCGAACACCACCGCTTGGTGGGACTCGAGCTTTGATGTTGCTCTCACCAAGTGTAAGGGCAACCGCACCTAGAACGTTTCTTCTGGCCCCCCTCTGGAGCGTGTCCTGATCTTGAGTTGGGAATAGAAGGACTTGCTGATAATGTGCACAACCCAACGGAGATGACGTTGAGTGATGGCAGCTTTAAAAAAAAAAGACTCCAGGATCCGGCCTCTTCAAGAACACCGACATTTGGTTCGTTTGTATCTGCCAGGTGATGCCAAGGATTTTCCGTAAGCAGCGCTGATGGAATTTCCCAAACGCCTTGAGGTGTCTTCTCTACGTTTCACACATCCCTGCGCAATACCGGAGTGTAGAAATCACGACAGAATTATAGACCGCTGATTTGGTGGTCGTGTGGATGTCGTGGCCATTTAAGACCCCTCTGTCTTAGGCGACCGAAGGCTGCACTGGCATTGGCAATGCCAGTGCAGCCTTGAATCTCCTCGTCGATGTCTACTTTGCGTCGCAGATGTCTGCCAAGACGAGGAAAACACCCCACGTTCTCTAATAAGGCATTCTGTACCCTGATTAGAGGTGGAGGTGATGGAACACTGGAATTCGGCTGAAATAATGCTTCCGCTTTTCTGGTGTTGAGTGCAAGCCCCAATCCTGCTGTACGCTTCGGCAAATGCATCAACAGTGGCCTGAAGATAGGTGACCGCACAGGCACCGACTACTGCGTCACATGTGTACTGGCAGCTCCATGAGCGATGCGAACGCGATCTTAGATTTGGCTCTGAAGCGGCCGAGATCAAAGAGTTTGCCCTTCCACCCTGTTGGTTCGTTGTACACCAACAGGGAGTCTGTCCGATGGGAGATGAAGCGTCACTGCAAGAAAGATGGAGAAAAGCATTGCGGCAATAGCACGTCCTCATTCGACGCTGGCCCTTATGTCAATCGGGTCAGCCGTGGAGCCATTGCTGACCATTACCGCCCTGGATGCCATCGTGGAGGAGACGGAGAATGTTCACAAACTTTACGGGGGCAGCCATTTTTTCTCAGCAGGGCCTCACGGTTGACGGAGTCGAAGACTTTGGTCGGATCAAAGAAAGCCACGTAGAGGGGTTGATGTTGCTCGCAGCGGTCGAGTAGAGAAGATCATGCCTGTAGTAGCTCTTGCCTGGTCTAAAGCAGTGCATCTTAACCTGAGGGTGCACGCGCCCCCTGGGGGTGCGAGATTCTCCTTTCTGGGGGTGCGAGACATTGCCAGATTTTTTTAAAGGTAAATCATCGAAACACACATTAAGCATGGGCACCTACATACTAATCTTGATTTGAAGCTTTCGTGACTGCAGGAATCCATACTCTTTGGTTCCTTCGGTAAAGTCACGTGGGTAGAAATAAAGCAAAATAAAACACGACGTTTCGAACGCAACACAAGCGCCCGTCTTCAGGTGAACATCGCGATGGCCGCGATGTCTGCTGCTCGCAGCACGGTGTCTGCTGCAGACATCGTGCTGCCAGCAGCAGACATCGCGGCCATCGCGATGTTCACCTGAAGACGGGCGCTTGCGTTTGAAAACGATTGAGAACCAAAGGGCGCGCGCGGCTGCAGTGAAGGTTGGCAACCGCTGATCTAAATCCACTGAGCTTGAACTGGCCACGCCCAGGAGCTATGACGCGTCGGGAGAAGCGTCGCTACTCAAGCGCTGTGGGTGGAGCCCCAGTGTCTGCCTATGCCATTACTGTGTTGAGTTCCCATTAATCGTATTCAAATTCCTCTCTTCGTGTGTTTAAAATGGGGGAGGGGGTGGTGTCTGTTTTAGTGCTGAATAAGACACTGCACCCCACAGTTTCAGCAAACCCGCTAAGGCTCACTGTCAGCTCTCCGTTGACGTCCTTAAAACAAAACGGGATCAATGAATATCTCTCTGGCGAGGATAGCGGATGATATATCTCACAGCAGTGGTTACAATGTTAAGTAAAGTGACCCTCATCTGAAACAAGCGATAGGGCAGAGCGAAAGACAAGATATATGTGATCCAGCGCAGGACTACGAGCAGATTAATGAATCACATCACTGTAATAAAGTTCTGGTCGGAAGGAGCATGTTTTGAGGTAATGACAAGTGGATAATGAGAAGCAGAATTTATCTTTGAATCTGACTTTCAGTTTCGTGAGTTTGAGTGTTTATTTCCCGAAATTCAAGTGGGCATCGAGCCAGAGGGCCCAGACATGTGTAAGAGTTTCCATTTTCACCGCCATAGCCAAAATTAGAATGAGAGAAATTGTGCAAAAAAATGGGGGATCAAAGAGCACTTGGGACACGCGACAGATTACACGTTTCATTTCCCTCGCTTTCCCGGGAGAAGAGTAGGCGATATACCGTTCTGTTCAATGTTTGCAAACTATGTTTGGACTTCATCCATGAAGGAGGCAGGTGGGTATCCAATACCGTGAGCAGGAGGAAGTTAATTTTCCATTGTGTCATGAGGATCCCCAGGAGAACCACCAGTTCACCCAAAAAAGGTCGAGTAGGTTGTGTTGTTTCTCCATACTGAAGATAGATTACCGCAATGTGCTTTTTTCTGGTATTTCTGGTCGTGCTATTTCACAACTATAACTTGTCTTCCTTCTGATATTAGGAAACCACTGGAGCTGTCCAGTGTTAAATCATCTAGATTGAAAACTCATTTCATTCTAACTGCTTTTTGTGTTTAGTTTGTTGTCCTTTCCCTCCGATCATCGCGGTTGGCTGCGAATGGTGTTGCGAAAGAAGTTCAACATATGTACAATGATTCAATCTTAATTATACGTGCCAATATCGCCCTCAGCGAAGTAGGCTAAAGTGCACACTATAACATAATGGGAACGGTACAGGAGCGTGGAACAAAAAATAATGAAAAGACCCGTCACGACCTAAGCGGCGGACACGGATTGAGCCGAAAATAAAGTGCAACCGTGCGGAACGAATGCACAGCACAACCTGCACAAAATACTGCTACCTTGTTCCCCCATGCTGAGCAGAACCCAATGTGGTCTGTTCCTGTATGCAGACTCCAGGCCACTCTCACGTGGGAGACGGCGAGAAGAGCGTGGTCTTCACGCACCGCATCAACATCCCTCCGCAGGCGTGCGGGTGTGGAGGGGCGGGTGGTGGTGGGGCCCTGCCCAACCTCCAGGACCTGCTCAGTCGGCTGGAGGCCATGGAGAACGAGGTGTCGTCTCTCCGCCAGCTCTGCTCCGGAGCCTCCGGGGGCTGCTGCAACGGGGGCCAGGGGAACGCGGCGAGTGGTGAGAGCTCCCCGTCACCTCTCCCCACACCTCTCGCCTGCTCTCACTGCACGCTTTATTCATCTGCGCGCTGTGATGAGTGCGGTTCTATCAACCGTGGTGTGTCCGTGTGCGTGAGCGGTAGTGTAGCTGGTTAGCGCGCTGCGCTATAAACCTGGCGACCCGGGTTCGATTCCCGCTCACGGCCAACACCCAGTGACGATTATCTGAACCGGTCCCGGGCCTCCCCTAGGTCGACTCAGCCTCAAATGAGTACCCGGTGCGGTGTGTGAACATCGCCACTGGGGGAGACAAAGGCGGTCGGGCGTGGCGCTGGCCACCCACCCCCTCGTGTGCCGTTCCGGCCTTCATAGGTGCTGCTCGCTAACAGCACTTGCCCCTACAGTCTGTTAAGGCTACACGGGGGGATCTTTATCTTTGTGATATGCTTAGCTGTAGTGTAACGGCTAGCGCGCTGCGCTATGAACCCGGCGATACGAGTTCAATTCGAGCTTACGACCAACCAACACCGGTGGCGATTATCTGAATCGTTCCTGGGCCTCCCGAGAGTCGACTCAGCCTCGAATGAGTACCTGGCATGACGTGTAAACATCGCCACTCGGGAGACAAAAGGCGGTCGGGCTTGCTGCTCGTCACGCATCCCTCGTGTCCCGTGCCGGCCTTCATAGGTGCTGCTCGCTAACAGCACTTGCCCCGACAGTTTGTTAAGGCTCTACGGGGAGGGATGGATCTTTGTTTTTTGCCTTACTGAGCAGCTGCACTTGCTGTGGCGTGTCGTTTGCAGCTGGCCGCACCGACTACCTGCCCGCGTGCGGAGGCCACGGCTCCTTCAGCCTGGAGACGTGCGGCTGCATCTGCGAGCCGGGCTGGAGCGGCAAGAACTGCACAGAGCCGACGTGCGTGCCGCCGTGCGTGCACGGCCGCTGCCTCGACGGCGCGTGCCTGTGCGACGAGGGCTACTCGGGGCCCGACTGCCGCGCGCTCAAGTGCCCCAACGACTGCAACGACTACGGCCGCTGCGTCGACGGCAAGTGCGTGTGCGACGACGACTACACGGGCGACGACTGCAGCGAGCAGCGCTGCCCGAACGAGTGCAGCGACCGGGGCAACTGCGTGGACGGGGTGTGCGTGTGCGACGAGGGCTTCGCTGGTGAGGACTGCAGTGAGACCCGGTGTCCGAATGACTGTCAGGACCGTGGCCGCTGTGTCAATGGCCAGTGCGTGTGCGACGAAGGCTTCACCGGCGACGACTGCGGTGAACTGACCTGCCCGGACGATTGCAAGGACAGAGGAAGATGCGTTGATGGGAAATGCATCTGCGACGAAGGCTTCACTGGGGAAGATTGTAGTGAATTGACCTGTCCCAACAACTGTCAACACAGAGGAAGATGCGTCAATGGGAAATGCATCTGCGATGAAGGCTTCACTGGGGAAGATTGTAGTGAATTGACCTGTCCCAATAACTGTCAAGACAGAGGAAGATGCGTCAATGGGAAATGCATTTGCGATGAAGGCTTCACTGGGGAAGATTGTAGTGAATTGACCTGTCCCAACAACTGTCAAGACAAAGGAAGATGCGTCAATGGGAAATGCATTTGCGATGAAGGCTTCACTGGGGAAGATTGTAGTGAATTGACCTGTCCCAACAACTGTCAAGACAGAGGAAGATGCATCAATGGGAAATGCATCTGCGACGAAGGCTTCACTGGGGAAGATTGTAGTGAATTGACCTGTCCCAACAACTGTCAACACAGAGGAAGATGCGTCAATGGGAAATGCATCTGCGACGAAGGCTTCACTGGGGAAGATTGTAGTGAATTGACCTGTCCCAACAACTGTCAAGACAGAGGAAGATGCGTCAATGGGAAATGCATCTGCGATGAAGGCTTCACTGGGGAGGATTGTAGTGAACTTAGATGTCCCAACGATTGTCAAGACCAAGGAAGATGCGTCGACGGGAAATGCGTCTGCGATGAAGGCTTCACTGGAGAAGATTGTAGCGAACTTAGATGTCCCAACGACTGCAGTGACAGAGGAAGATGCGTCGACGGGAAATGCGTTTGCGATGAAGGCTTCACTGGAGAAGATTGTAGCGAACTTAGATGTCCCAACGATTGTAATGACAGAGGAAGATGCGTCGACGGGAAATGCGTTTGCGATGAAGGCTTCACTGGAGAAGATTGTAGCGATCTTAGATGTCCCAACGATTGTCAAGACCAAGGAAGATGCGTCAATGGGAAATGCGTCTGCGATGAAGGCTTCACTGGAGAAGATTGTAGCGAACTTAGATGTCCCAACGACTGCAGTGACAGAGGAAGATGCGTCGACGGGAAATGCGTTTGCGATGAAGGCTTCACTGGAGAAGATTGTAGTGAACTTAGATGTCCCAACGATTGTCAAGACCAAGGAAGATGCGTCGACGGGAAATGCGTCTGCGATGAAGGCTTCACTGGGGAGGATTGTAGTGAACTTAGATGTCCCAACGATTGTCAAGACCAAGGAAGATGCGTCGACGGGAAATGCGTCTGCGATGAAGGCTTCACTGGGGAAGATTGTAGCGAACTTAGATGTCCCAACGACTGTAATGACAAAGGAAGATGCGTCGACGGGAAATGCGTCTGCGATGAAGGCTTCACTGGGGAAGACTGCACAGAAGGTAAGGACATTGCATCTCTAGGGAAACCCAGTTAATTTATGAAATCATGCTATATAATTTAAAACAAAGTCTTGCTGGCTGGCTTCCTGGCTAGATTCCTGGCTGCCGCGCAATTGAGCATGCGCAGTAGTGACATCACTGCGCACATGTGTGACGTCACTCAAATCACACAGCGTTGAGCCATTTTCGTCCATGAATGACGTCACGCACCTGGGTGGGGTCAGACATTTGTGACGATGTGTGACAAGGAGGGGGAGTTTGAGAAATGTGACGTCACATTAAAATGCGCAACTTTAAATATAGACAACACGTTCTACTTAATTAAATAGACTTTTTAATAAATGTTTTCTCCTACAACATCACAGTGCAGCGCCACATTAAATACGCACTACAATGACAATAGTTTAAAGCGATTTGAAGCATGTTTTATTGGGGGGGGGGGGGGGCGGGCGGGCAGAGTTTTGTGACGTCATATTTGAGGGGGAGTCTGACTTTTTGTGACGAGGGGGGGGGGGGTCAAAAATCGTCCAAAATCGCGTGATGTCTTTTATGTGCCTTCCCAATGAAAGCATAACTCAGCACAATACCAAATGTTACAAACTATTTAAAAAACAAGTTATATTTTCATCACCAAAACACTATAATCATCTTCCAACCCCGTTATATGTAGTGATTCGAGTTGGACTGATCAAAATATACAATTGACACTGGTAATAATTATAATGAAATAACTCGCCACGAGGTGCGGCGCCATCTTATTAGATTTCCCGCGGAAAAAAATTACAAATATAATACAACCCCAAAATAGGTGCTCAACTTGTACCTCCAATAGTTATCATAAACACCCTCCATGTCACAACACCGCAGTTCAATTTGTCTGTTCACATTATAGACCCAATTATTGTATTTTATATTAAGTCAACTTTAATATCAAAGTCTTTATTGTGCACATCTCTATTACCACGATAACTCAATCAACATTCAATTTACATTGCCGAGTTCCTGTCAGTCGATGGACGTTCAACTAATATCAATTTATAAGCGATATTTTATTGGAGCTAATGAAGAAATGCAGCTTATCAGCTCGAAATCCGCCCAAATCTAAATTGGGGTGCGTCTCAGTCTCTGCTGTGCACGTCAGGCTCTGGGTCCAATCCCTGATCACCATTGCCTTATCGTGTAATAATAATAATTTTAACAATTTTAAACGAGTTTTGATTTTACCAGATAAAGCCCACTGAGCTATATAGTTATTTTCCAGAAGCAACCTGGCCACAAATGACGCCTGAACGAAGTGGCTTATTGCGGGGAAATGTATCGCAGCCAACTATTCTCAACGCATGTTTGTAAAATGTGGAGGGAAACGCCGGAGGACCCGGAGAAAAATCCACGCTACCATGGGGAGTAAGACACTCATAAACTCCAAATATACAACAGGCGTCAAGGTTGGGATCTAACCCAACGACCTTCTGTATACCAGGCGAGGTAGTTAACATCTCGTGGCGTCTAATAAAGAGGCACCTGACTTTGCGCAGATAACTATCAGCGTGCACAATTATACGGGTGATTCATCACAGGCGAGCTCACACCGGATACGTTAGTAAGCAGTGCCTATGAAGGCCGACACGGCACACGAGGGGGTGGCGAACGCCACGCTCGGCCGCCTTTGTCTCGCCAGTGGCGATGTTTGTGCACCGCACCAGGTAAACTCATCTAATAACCGATTTGACTCAGGGGAGGGCCCAACAATGCTTCAGATACTCGTCACTGGTTTTGACCGACTAGAACTGCAGTCCGCCATACTCTTTTGTTCTTTCGGTAAAGTCACGTAGGTATAAAATATAATACATACCTACGTCACTTTACCGAAAGAACCAAAGAGTATGGATTCCTGCAGTCCGCCAGCTCCGTAGCCGCTGCGCGCTGACCGCTACGCCACCAGCACTTGGACACGACTCAAAACGATTCTAACACGTTGCCCCACGCGGCCTCTTAGGCCCTTTCAATATTCTGCCACTCGCTCCCTCCACATTCACCCGTCTCCCACCCTCTCTCGAGCTCTCGCCCTGCCAATCTCCTCCACCTTGGGCATTTTCTCCATCTCTCTCTCTCTCTCGTCTCCCCACCGTGGCTCTGGTAACTCTCTTTCCTTCTCTCTCTCTCTCTCTCCGCCATCACCACAGCTTAAGCCCGCTTCACGTCTCTCCCGCGGGACCCTCTCTAACTCACTCACCTCTGCCCCCTTTTACTTTTATGCCCTTTTTGTAGCCCCTCCTCTATGATCTCACCCGTTAGCCACCCCCTCAATCTTCATTCCCATTGGCCCTCCAGCTACACGCCCACTCCCCCGCCCCCCTTCCCAGGGGCTCGCAGGCTGCCCCTATCCAACAAGCCCTGCCACTCACTCCATGGCCCCATTGGTCACGCCGTCTCCCGCCAGCCCCCCTGTAGGTATGCACATGTTGAACTTCTTTCTCACCGTACGTAGCCAACCGCGCTAATTGACGGTTCGGGGAAAGGACGAAAAAAACTAACCACAAAAAATGAGTTAAAAGGAAAATGAATTTTCAAGCTAGATGATTTAAAAGTACAAAACTTCCAGTGGCTTCCTTATACCGAAAGGAAGAGCGTTCCTTGTAAAATAAGCGGTCATCTGTGAATGCCCAGCTAAACAGGTAGAGGTTTTAAGTAGCTTTTGTAAATCTTAGTGGATGGTCAGGCAGGAGGTAATCCAAGCAAGGCAGCAGCGGGAGGCTCGGGAGAGAAACAGACCGCCACTGGAGGTGTTTACTGAGCCAGGTTACTGGGCAGCGTCTCAAGGTGCCTGTCGCGTGATGCATTTCCACACGATGAGCCGCTTCGTTGCGCTATTATCTACGATAGCTGGGTGGCTTCTTCTGACAAAGAGCTGTATAGTAGCTCAGTGGGGGCCTTACCTGGTAAAATAAAACAAGAAAAGTTTCGTTTTGCTAGTTAAATAGGATCTACGAGCTGCCTACACGCCGACTCTTTCACCTCTCGTGTCCTCAGGTGCCCTGTTCTCTCTCCTGTTGTCCTTAACTGCCGTGCCGGGCGAGGTCCCACCCCCTTTTCCTTCGGATGCCCCGGTTCTGCCGGGGCTTTTCCCCGTGCAACAACCCTCGTTCCCTCCATGCTGTCTCGACGGCCGCTCTGCCACGACCCTACTGGAACGCTGTGGTTCGGAGTACGAAATTTCGGAAGGAACCAGGAGCAAGTGTCGTAGCGGTTGGGTAGTCGGTGAGTCTCCGTCCGTCACAGAATCAGACCCTTTATTTAGACTGGAAGAATCCGATGGGCTCTTCAGCTCTTTTTCACAGATGTCCGGGAGGGGCACGGGGTCAGAACGTTACAACAACAAGCAGTACAATAGGAGTGCACAAGAAAGCTAAGCAAGTCACTACACAAATAAATCAAGTATGCATTCAATTCTGGCGTATCAAACCATACGTTGGGAGGAAAATATTTGAAATTATGCAAAAGGTTTGCGGATATGCACAATAAATATGTAATGTATAACGTTGCTTTATTCTAAATGCATACTGTGGCCTTAAAATGTAACATTCGGGACTACAGAGCCTTCTTCACAGAACATACATGCTCTGTAAATGCTGGAATCATTTAATGTGTTGTAAAGGACTGTTGCCCAAAACGTCGCCTATTACAGTAGAACCCCCACTCTTAACGATGGTAATTGGTTCCACAAAACCGGTCGTTAAGTGATTTGGTTGTTAAGCGAGTTTCGGAAATAGACGTTCAAGGCTTAATTCGTTCCGATGGCATCGAAAGTTACCCTTTTCACCCAAAACACTTACTTTATATTTAAAGAATGGATATTAATACATAAAGATAGGAACAACATTATAAACACATAATATTGAAAGAAACACGGTTAATCAATGCATTCATTCATATTTACTATGCCTGCAACAGCCCGTCGTTAACAGGGGAATGGTCGATAAGCAAACACATGGAGGCACTACACTGCTATACACTACACTATACACTACTATATACTATCTTGATGTGAAGCTTTCGTGACTGCAGGAATCCTACTCTTTGGTAAAGAACCAGAGATTATACTATATACTCCACTACACTACCATACACTACACTACCATACACTACACTATATACTACACATTGGGCTCTATGGAGGCCCATCGTTAAGCGATTAGTCGTTAACAGGGGTGGTCGTTAAGAGGGGTGCTTCAGGGTGTCCGAAAATTAATATACCAAAAAGAACATTGAACACTGATGAGATATTCTCAAATTGTTAACGGACTTCTACATATCGTCAATCATTCACTATCATCAATCTAATTCGGCGGTTCAAACTCTGAGAAAAAAAAACATTTTCCAACGCAGTTGTAGGGTTGGGTGATGACAAAGCAGCATCAACGACGGGATGTTTAAGTTCATTAAGGTCTAGTAATAGGTTTTACCCTTTTAACTGGCACAAAAACTGACACCTTTATTCAAGGCATCATGTTTGCAATAACCACAACACAAGCAGTCAAAATGCAAACAAAAGAGACAACTCTGATGATAATAATATGCACTGTCCTTGAATTTGGATTGGTCCCTTGGCTTCCTAGTTGTAGACTTTAATAAACCCCCACCAGCGATGAAAACAAACCTAATGGTGATTTAAAGCTTTCGTGACTGCAGTAATTCATATTCTTAGTTGTTTCGGTAAAGTCACGTTGAAGAGAAACAACAAAATAATAAAATTTATTGTTATATATATTTTATTATTTTGTTGTTTCTCTTCAACGTGACTTTACCGAAAAAACTAAGATTATAAACCTAATGGTGTTAAGTCGGGTGAACGGGCGGACTTGTCATTACATGAAAACATGGAATTTCTCCTGAAACAGAAAGAAAGTCCCAAGCAAATATTGTCAACAAAATAAAACGTAAAAGTCGAATGAATGATACAGTTCTAAAGACCAATAAGTAATATTTAAAAAACACAATTT